GCGGTGACGTGGGTCGGGTCGGGTGCATTTGACAGTTGCCCCCCTCGGAGCGACGCCCCCTTTTACCACCTGGATCAACAGGCATTAGCCCCTCACCCTCTATTTATTATTATTATTATATTAGAGAACGGTAAAATAGTAATTAAAAGGGTTGTAACAACCATTTTTTTTTGTGTGCAAATTAGGGTACATTAGGTGACAAAGTAATGATAAATTCCCATGTAAATAGTAAGATCTTCTCGTAAAAGATCTCGTTTCAGCTCCCAATTCAAGTCCAATTCTGGATTCAATTCGTTCCAGCTAGTGTTTAACACCCCTTTGTCTAAAACTGTGTTGTGGCCTTAAAACGAAAAATATTTTATACTTTAAAGTAACAAATAAGAAAAGACCGAACTAGAATTAGAAATTATCTACTAATTAACTAAGTTAAGAGTATTTACAGTTCGCAATTTTAGCGACTTATTATATAACATACATATACCTCAATAACAACTACGGACTGTAATGCGTAAGGGTGATTTATTGGTCATATCGAAGGACAAATCAGGTCAACATCGTAGCATGGTGCACCTTATGTATCCGATAGTAGGAAGAAGAACTCGTAGAAATTCAGACGGTCGTACTTTCGTTTCAAGCCTACGTTAGAAGACAGCCCAATGGCACCCAGGCATCCTCATCGAAAATAAAGCTAGGACCATAAAGACGTCAACCATATTATACAAGAGTTAAGATAGGCATAGTACTAGCATCAAAATTGAACACTACTGGTGATTAGTTACGGTTTTGGTAATACAACTAAAGAGTCTTACAGGTCAAAAGGTGACTAGCATAGCTCAACCTGATCGGACATTTTAATATAACGTCAAATCAGAAATAATGATTATTATATAAGTATGAGAGGTCGAAAAGTCGACTTGCTATTTGGATACCGTCGCACTGCAAAATAGGTCTACGCTTACGTAAGTGGTGGATACTTGGTGCTGGTATGACCGAGACTGTCACGCCCATGACATCCAATATAAAGAAACACACAATATTTGGTCTCTGCACATAGTTACAGAATTAAGACTTTAGAGGTCCTGCTTGTGTGGAGCAGAGCACGTCTCCGAATTTGAGCAGGGTGTATTGACCAAAGACACTTCAATGGAAGTGCACAGTGAGACATAACGAGATATCGTCTTATCTGATGACAAACTGTGTCACACACGCCAAACTCAGGTGAAGACACGTGTCTTCTCAATGAGCCCAGCTATAGAGACACGAAGATTAATAATGCAGTACCCGCGAGTATTACCGGATAGAGAAGTAGATATTGTGATGGTCCGCCTTGTAGTCTATACGTTTTAGTCCTATATACAAACTTCTAATTCGACTCTTGATAAGATTCGGATTAGGTTTGCGCATTAAAGATTGCAGCTGACGGTTAGTCAGGGAGGAAGGAAACCAACGAAGTAAGGGTTTACTTAAGTGAAAATAGCGGAGAGACTTAATGGAGAAAGGAGAATAAGAGATGTGACCAGAGAATATCTAGTTATCACGCTCGAACCGTCATCAAACAAATATATTAGAATGTACACTGAGAAAGAGAGTAAAGTAAGTCTAGGATATTTTATCTTTAGACCACATATTTTCATTAATATACAAATAAATATTTGGGGTTAATTTTGTTTGCTTAGCTACACAATGAGTCAAAAGCACATTTATGAACATACTTGAATTACACGACCGAGAATTTAGGAAGTAAGAAATTAACGTTATGTCTATAACAATACATAAAAAAATAAAACTTTTCTCCCTCCTATCACGAAAAAACCCCCCTTGACGAGGTTATTGTGAACCATTGAATACACTTACAATCATAGGGGACAAACGAGGGACGAAGGAAGGACACACATGATGAGAGTAGAATTAAAGAAGACCGTAGAATTTCAGGACTCAGTTTCAGCTATACTCCAACAAAGTTCCAGTAATCTTTTCAATAATCTACGAAGGCTTAGAAGTATAAAGACAAAGCGAGTACGTAGCTAGGCGAGAATGTCATGCAGGGAAGCATCATTATCTAACTGTAGCTGACAACCCTGACTAGTCTAAATTTATAGAAAGAAAGAAGAGAGAAAGATACGGTTTGGTGTCCGCAAACATAAAGAGTCAATGTGTACCTGTACTTCAACGTGAAAGAGAGAAACAGGTAGTAAAAGGAAAGGAGGAAGTGTCCTTGTAAAGGTCCCCTCTGGTCTTCAGACACTACAAGACGCTATAAATTGACAAATTCCAAAGTATGTATGCAAACATATACTCTGTACTCATAAACAAATGAAGACAATACATACTATACAAACTAACTAGAAAACCACATACAAATCGATTTCCGACGGTGACATAAGTCGATACAATCCACCCGTCATTGTTTCGATTGTAACAACCAGTAAAAATTCACACATCCTCCTCCAGAGATATTTAATCACATAATCATCGAATTATCTAACTGATGACGTTAGTCATCACCTAATACCACCGTGCAACATCATTTTAAGTCTGATGCACAACTGACATACAGATAAGACCACCACAATATATACAACCAAGACATTGAAGTACTCCATTTGACCTGATTTTTGCACAACCTTTATATCCGAACAAGATTACAACAACAGACGTTTAACATATAAAGCGACTTACATGTCATGACTAACCGAATTCGCACAACTATAATTCGACTTTATTAAGGTCGAAAAGTTTTAGGTGAATTTGCAGACTATACACTACAATTCCAAAACATCAACATTTGTGTCAAGATGCACGATTTGCGCGCTCTCTTGTCAGGGTCCTACACTACCAATGCGCGCTGCCACTCCCCCACACACACACTACATCAAGAGGTACAAACACTCCGCTTAGGTGCATCAACGTCGCGTACCGGTTGATACGGTCACGGCGACGTGTACGGCAGTAGTCGGGCAGCTCAAGACAAATGCTACGCAAGTGCTCATACACGAGGCACGGACTTTCCTTCGAGTCCAGAACAGACTCGGCGCATCAGCATTCGCCGCAAGGCAGACCTACATACACGCGGAGAGACGACAAACTTCATACATTCCTAGTCGAGTTTAATTTAGTGTTTAGTTTTGATTTTATCTTTTACGGGGTAAGTCTTCCTCTACGTTACCATCAGTAATTGAGAGCGCGGTTTTCGAGACCAATTAGCTAACAGGAGAGGTCACAGTGTGTGACTGGATGAGAGGTCACATCACACAATGTCTCTCCCGATGGACTTTACCTTGCATGGTAACACCGACTGACGCCCCCCCTCCACTGCCTACCGACTGCCCCCTGTACGACAGACTACGTACATGGCACTTTGACGACCGACAGACGACAACGACGACGACGACGACAACACCCAGAACCGTGCCCACACCGACTGGCCCCGGACGAATCCCGATGGGCCGGTACCGAAGTGGGCCGGTCGGATAAGTCACTAGCACATCCCCCACTCCCCCCGTTGACAATTTACTAGTGGTACCGAAGTGGGCCGGTCGAGAGTCCCGGGCTGATTTTTAGTCCCAGTCCACCACTGGCTACATGACCGTATGATCGCCCATATTGACGCACCTAATTCCTAAACTTCTAACAGATACAAAATAAACCGATCCTTCAGCCTCATATGAGCTCTCAGACACGTTCAAAATTAAACTGTCATCGCTGTATGAGCTTGCTGCTGTGTGCCCCATCGTGCGTTTACATGCAGATGCTGGGATCCTGAACGGTGCAGCTGGAGCGCTGTGCCCGCAATGACGTCACACATAATTTGGCGGGATTTGAAGAATCCCCGAGAAGATCTAGAAAATTGTCAACATTGAAGGGCAGATTAATGGTTATCAAAGTACAAATATCCAAAATCAGTTCAGTAACGGTTTTCAAGGGGACAATATTTACTCAAATTGATGGGTTTGGATGATGGGGGAAACTCGTGTCACAGGCTCTTTAAGTTATTAAGTCCTAAAAATATCCTCAAATTGGAGAAGCTGGATGCAAAAAGTAATGATATTTTCAAAATAGCAATCCAAATATTCTGAACAATCAATATATTTTACTTTAGATAATTTAAGTAGTCTACAGTTTGCTTGTATGGGAGTATTTTCACAGTGAACAGTACTTTTACTTTTGGAGTGCATCGCTGCGGGCACTATTTTAAAGAGGTAGCCCAATCCACCACAACACTAGAGGCCGGTATCTATTGCGCTTTCGTCATAGTTAACGGAAGTGGCTCGCCTCTCGTACAGCCAGGCTATCTGACTGACACTGAATGAAAAACGCACTGATTTCGTCTCCAGAATGATGACATTTTTACCCAAACTGCTGCTGCTGGCGCTGATAGCGTTCCCAGCGACACTCCTCATCAAAGGTAATTCTTTAATATGGCTTCTTACAGTGGTCGAGGCAAAAAGGTTGAATGAGCTTGTGAGCGTTACACGCTAGTATTAGCTGCTAAGCTAACTAGCCGCTAAGGGGGAGGCCATTCTCCATTTGACATGTGCTAGCTGAAGAGTAAATATGGGTATACAAATGAAATGCTTAATTGTTCTTTGTGGAAATTGATGAAGTATTAACGTGTAGTTTCTGTTTTTGTGAAAGCGTAATTGTCACCATTTATGGTCCCTTTAAGTTTGCTACATGCATTTATATGCTACTGCTTACACTGACGTGTCCTTACTATCTGCTTGTTAGCTGGTAGCCGGGATGCTAAGTACCTTGGTTAGCTGTCACTGTCGCTTCCTAGACATATTACACGTTAAACAAATATTGTATCAAGTCTAAACTCTTGACTCTATGTCTCTATTAGTGTTAGTTTTCAATACACATCTATACAAGTTGTATTCAACTGGCTTGTTTCACATGTTGTCAGGCTAGCTAGCTTAGCTTTAACAGCTAACATTTGCGGCTGTGGTTTAGTAGGCTGGTATTTTTAAGGACCCCTGACCAGAGGTATGGAACTAAATACATTCGATCAAGTTAGGTTCTTAAGAATACGTATGAATATGATGTGTTTGTCCTATCAGTATTTTAAAATATGCAGCTGTATACCTATTTATTAACAAAATCTCAGATGTAAATACTGTGAAATGTTCCCCTTCACTACAATTGTCTTGGAACGTATTCGATTTAGTGAAGTGTATTTAATAAAAACTCCTACTGGCACACCTCATCATAAAAAACCTGCAGGTCTACATTCGTTGTAAATGTAAGCAGTATTTATAGCATTAACATGGAGGTGTGGCTATAGATATCAGCTGTATATTAGCCTGAAGCAAACTGCTAAACTATAACATACATAGGATTTTATTTACAATATTTTATTAAACCAGTTGAACATCGTTGAATGAAAAGAAAAACATATATATTAATGGTTGCCTTTTTTAAAGTGCATTCTCTACTTATTTACAAAAAAAACGTTTGTCCAGGTTTGGCTATATCACAAATAGACATGATGACTATTTAATAAAACTCAATGTATTGTGCAGCTCCAGTCTTTGTCCCTGTAATTAGTAGACCTTACCCTCGAAACAATTTCTATAAACTCCCAACCCAACATCCTTTTTCATGTGGAAACGTTTTGATCCACAGAAGGAAAATTACAGTCTTGCAGACTTTTTTTGGGACAATGTCATGCCAGTGGCTGGTTGAGAGGACTAAGTGTGCTTTTGGATTCCCAGATTTTTCTAGCAGCCACTTGTCACAAAAGATAATAAAACAATTTGTTTTCCCCCCAAATCTCCCATTGTGTAATGTCTATCAAATGACATAACAAACAATATATTTTTTAAAGGGCCGATGGTGAGTGCCCAGGATCTGACGGAGGACGAGGAGGCGGAGGCTGAAGCTGAGACTGAAACTGTGGACGTGGATGAAGACGTTGTGGACGATGCAACGGATGAAGACGACGAGGCGGAAGTGGAAGACGATGAAAACGTGGAACTAGTGAGTTCTAATCAGGCGTCATCTTTAGTTCTAGGAAATTAAGAGGATCATAATTATGATGGGTGATTTCAGCTCTTTTCTGTCATTTATTACTTAATAGTTCAGTAAAATATTCTTAAAAGATCAACTGGTAGAGAAAGTACTTGTGGCTGTATTTTGCTCGTAAATGATTAAATCAAATATTCTTAACACATTAATCAATTGTGAAAGTAATTGCTACACATTTTCTTATTAATCTCCTGACGGCGCTTAAGTTATATCACAACAAATATAGCTTTCTTTTGCATTATTTAGAGAAGTCCAAAGCAAATGCTTCTTATAGGATATGAAAACAATCCGAACGAGTAAAGATTTAACCTCTGATTTTAATATACAACACAAAGATTAAGCTCCTATTGATAATTATTGAAACCAAACCTGTGTGTCTGTGTAGACGGAAGAAAAAGAAGATGAAGAGGAGGAGGCGTTGGTTGGAGAGGTGAAAGCTTCTCCTAACGCCGACACCACCATCTTGTTCGTCAAAGGAGACGGTAACTTTCTATGACATCTTCAAAATTAAAAGATTACATTTTTAAGTCAAGCAACAGCAGAATGAACTTGTCTTTTCTCTGCAGATTTCCCTGCCAACGACATCGTAAAGTTCCTGCTCGGCTTCAGCAACAAGGGATCAGAAAACTTCATCGTGGAGTCTCTGGATGCCTCCTTCAGATACCCTCAGGTACAAAAAAACCCGAAATACTTACCGCAAGATAGCACAAACTTAAAGATACAAATGATACAGAAATAAATACACAAGAAAAGAATTGTAGCATTGAAAGGAAGAATTATTTCTAACTTCCTGTGTTTTTCTTTCAGGATTACCAGTTCTACATCCAGAACTTCACAGCGCTGCAGCTCGGCATTGAAGTCCCCGGGGGTCGGCAGGCCACCTTCGAGTACTCCTTCATCCCCGCAGAGCCCATGGGGGGGCGGCCGTTTGGACTCGTCATCAACCTCAACTACAAGGACGGCAACGTAAGGAGAGAAAGACATCAAATACTAGATTCTTGCCAATATTGGGCAATTGTAGGTCCCTGACATATGTTAGTCTTTCTTCATAGTCTGCGGAGGTAGACAATTACACAACACCATGACACACTTAGTATCCTGTTTCCTTTCTCACCAGTTCCTCTACTTGTGATTAGATATGTGTGTATTTTATAAGTTAGATCCTTAAAGTCTGAGATTTGGATCAAACTGCAGATTGTGTTCAAGCTAACCTGATGACCATCAGGGGTTCTGCTAGGATTTTCTCTTGCCGGTTAAGTGTCCGGAAATCATTTATTTTACCGGACAAATTTGAAACTTACCGGTCATGTTTCAATACTAATAATAATAATTAGAATTGTGTAGCAGAGTTTCCGTCAGCAGGTAATTACCGGACTATGACCGGATATGCTGATGTTTAAAACTCAGTTAATGGGCTCAGTTTTATATTGCTTCAGTTTATAATCGTAACAGATCGAAAAGTTCAGATTCATTTTTCAATAAATGATTCCACAAACAACATAATTTTTACATTCAAACAAACTACTTGTAGTAGATGAAGTACATTATTCAAAAGTTTACATTAACTTTGGATAATAACACGGGAGAAACGGAGCCTCTCTTTTCCTCCCTCCCTCTCTCTCTCTCTCTCTCTCTCTCTCCTGACAGCCGGTCAGTTTCTCATGCAGCTCTCTAAACAGTGGGCGGGGCTTCAGGTGATCATGCAGAGCTGCGTGTCTCCGTCAGACGCAGCAGCTGATCTGATCTCTCTCTCGAGTCCGGTTATACTTCTCTCTCGTTTATGTCCATATCGATCAGATCCAGCTCTCCTGATGGGCCTTTATAGAGAGCCCCGATCAAACTATTAAGAGTGAATATCGGCCGTTTATGATCGGCGGCCAATCGATCGGAGCATCCCTAATTATTACGGGACATTTTGACCAGCAGGGTTTGAATTTACCGGGTTTTTCTAAATGTTACCAGCTAAAAACCGGTAATTACCGGCTAACGGAAACCCTGGTGTTCATATAGTGAAAGATGAGGGTAAGAAAGTCTGGGCTGACTAATGATTTAAAAAAGGAAAAGTAATTTGTATCTTTCTTTTTCTTATCTCCAACCTCTGACCTTTTTCTCTTTTTCATTATCATCTTCATCTCTGATGTTGCTTTCTCTAAACCTCTCTTTCCTCTCCTCCTCTCTGTAGGGAAACATTTTCCAGGACGCAGTGTTCAACCAGACCGTGACCATCACAGAGAGAGAGGACGGAATAGACGGAGAGACGTGAGTTTTTTTTCTTCATGCTGCTTTGAAGTCTCCTCTTTTACTTCCACTGTTCTTCATTGATCCTTGAATCTGTTCTGACCCTCTTGAATACGTCTTTCCTCTCCCAGGATCTTCTTGTACGTCTTCCTGTCCGGCCTCGGGCTGCTGGTCGTTGTCGGCCTTCACCAGCTGATGGAGTCCAGGAAGGTACGGATGAAAACAAAAACAAATATTACAACATCAGTATCTGGGGCAAAATGGAAAATTACACTCAAGAAAACAAAAAAAAGGAAGCCAATTATTTATAAATTGAGGGAAAATAACCCTTTTCGTTCAAGTCATTTATATAAGAAAAATGATACAAATTCACCTTTTGAAACTTGGGAATATGCTTAATTGCAAACTAAATATACATGTGGTGATGTTTAGTGGGCTTTTCCACTACTTTTTACATTTTATAGGCTAAAAGAAAATCACTTGCAGCCCTCACAATATGTGAACGGTATTCAGATGAGTGACATGCAAGCATACAAATAATTGTTGTAATATTTATGATTTTACTGCAGCTTGTTTTTTGACGTTTTATCAATCTGTGTGTGTTGTGGTGTGCAGAGGCGGCGTCCGGCTGCAAAGGTGGAGATGGGAACATCCAGCCACAACGACGTGGACCTGAGCTGGATCCCTCAGGAAACACTCAACCAGATCAGTAGGTCACTCACACACACACACACACACACACACACACACACACACTTGCGTCTGACCCTTAATGGCCTCGAAGCCAGCGTTCCCACGGCCGTAAACCATTTCGTGACAGAGAGTTGAACTTTATCAAGATAGGTGAAGCCTCCCATTCCTTAAGAGAGATAACAGAGCCAGGGTTGGTCGTAAACGTCAACACACAGAAAAGGTTAAATATCTACCCTCAAACTGTTCACATTTGAATAATGACAATACTAAAATGTTAGTGCAAAGATAAGCTATTCACATCATGGTAACAATCATATGATAATAATAATAATAGTAGTGGAACAATAAGCTTAAAACATGATGACACTGACATTTCAAAATGTTGTTCAAGTGAAAAATACATGTCTTGGTGTTTCTCTCTCCTTAAATAGCAAGTGGTGGGTATTGATGTTTGTTTCCTCGGTGATCAGCTGATGTGTGTCTCTGCTCTCTTCCTGCTTCAACTGTTTGACCTTTGACCTCCACTGTGCATGAGGGTCACTCACTCTTCTGTCTTTTCTCCTTTTCCTTGCTCATGTCTTCCTGCGTCTTCAGTGCAGAGTCGCAGAGGTGAGGTCTGCTGTGTGTGTGTGTGAGTGTGTGTGAGAGAGAACTCATTTCACTAACATGCAAATCAGTGCTGATGCCTGAGTGGTATAATTCCTTTTTGCAAATAAGCTTCCTCTCTTTACAAATGCTCTGATTTATAAATGTTGTTCAACAGCAATCACGAACATTTCCTCTTCTCCCAATGAACCAACAATATTAAAAATGTATTTCAGTTGTTTTAGGATATGAAATCTCTCCAGTAGTGGCTTGTAGGATTTAGAAAATGTTGGCTAGTAAGAATACATATTGAGCTGTTTTTGATCAAAAGCCATCGGAGCAACTCTACCTTTTAGATTCCCTATTTTGCTTTCCTTATTCACTTAATTAAAATTGTGTAAGAGAAAGGTAACGTGATAAGACATTTAAAGTTTAATTTGAAAACCTCTAAAACGTGAATGTAAAAATGTACCTTTTTGTTTCACTTGACTATAAATGAAATGTGTTTGTTGTATTTTTTAATCCATCACTCACATGTTTCTCCTTCCTCTCCAGACAAAGCGTCTCCAAAAAGATCTCCTCGCAAAAGAAATCAGAAACGCTCAGCCGGCTCCGACGAGTGACGGCGCCCGACACCGCGGGACTAACCTTCATCATCCCGCCTTAGAAGAGCAGCAGCAGCAGCAGCAGGAGGAGGAAGAGGAGGAGGAGGAAGAAGAGGAGGGATGAGAGCGCACTCTGCCCTCTCTACTGAGGAACTTTGACCAGTGCCAAGCACAGCGATGACTGGCTCTTTACTTAGCTTAAGAACTGTACAACACACACACACACACACACACACACACACACACACACACTCTCTCTCTTTCATGAGGCTGTCAGAGGGAGTGCAGAGGATCCTGAACCAGGTGTGTTGGGTTTTAAGGGGAAGACATTTCTCTTACGGTTGTTGGTTTTTCTTTAAGATTATATTTGTTGTTAAAGCCTCAGTATGACTGCTGATGTCATCATTGTGAGACCGTTTGATTGTTTTTTTCCTCCTTTTCTGATATCAGGCTGGATCTTTGATTCAATGAAGCAATTAACCAACTGAGATAATGAAGTCATAAGTTGATTCACCTTAAAGAGAAAAGCCTGAATATCTTCTAGTCTCTGAACTGTCACCCTTTTCCTTGTTTATTTCTCTTTCTGTCGGTAAACTGAGTATCTTTGGCTTCAGGACTGTCGTTCAGGCAAAATATGTTATCAAGTCTTCTTGTGACAGACATCAGTAACTATTTGAGAGAACATGATTAAGTATTTTGCGTATGAATTTAGAAATGGCACCAGGATCACGGTAACACATGCCGTTTTTGTTTTTGGATTGATTTGTTCTGTTGTTTGAGTTGATTTGTTGTTTCACTGCACAGATTCTGGTGTTGGCGGTCACACATTCGCATAACAACGATGTTTTTTTTTCTTTCAAAATGTCAGAAGGACTGAGTCACTATTTTTGCAAGTACAACATCTCATAGAGTTCATGTTATACCCTGGGCGTGACATGACGGCAAAACAAAAGTGAAAAATACAAGAACATCTGAATGTGTGACATTGTTGGTTTCTGCTGACATGTTCTCATTTTAAAACCTTTGAACATCACATCTAACAAAATGGAAAGTACAGCTGAAATATTAAACAATAACTTAAAACATACATTTTTAATTAATTTGTTTATCGATTAAGTATTTCAGCCAACAACGTGAAGAATACCCTGGTTCCCACTTCCTCAATGTGAATAAATAACTTGAAGTGAGTGGAGCGAGGTGCCCTTTAACCCGACACACTGAGGTCTATTCATGTGAACACACACACACACACGCGCTTTGGGTTATGAACATCTTAAAGAGTTAGTCTAGCCCTGGACGTGTGCCCGTTTTCTACTCCTGTCTGTTAATCAATCAGAACAATAACTTCCCACTTACTGAATTGAAATCTTTGTTTTTTGTGTTATGTTTTCTTTTGAATTGTAAAATGTCTCCCTGGCTGAAGCACTGGTGTAAATACTGGCTGATGATGAGCAGAAATTACTGAGCTAATTTATTAGAGTGACAGATTGGGTTTGTGCACTGTTTTTTTTATTTTGTTTTACCACTAGCGGGCAACACAGACTTTGGTTTACACTTCCTGTTGTGCAGAGTTTGGATATAAATGATCGCACACACACACACCGCAGGAAGTCTGGTCCAGTCTGAGCGGATGTAGGGGTTATTTTGTTCTTTTTCTAAAATAACGGGGCTGTCATTCATAGATGCAAGCGTCTTTTATTTGCTTTTAAATGTGCAGGAAATAAACTTGATGATTTGCATTATTCTCCAGGCCTCATTATTTTCTTAAGTTTGATAACATTTTTAATTAACTCGTAACTGATTTTAAAAGTGTTAATATTTGCTGTAAAAATATATCCATGTAAGGTGCATCAAAGCTAAAAAGACTATTAATTAATTTACTGAAAAAATACATTTCTTCTCTCACTTTTCAAGCAAAAATGTAAAACATTCAAGCCTCTTAATGTTTTATAGTCCACTTTTCTTTGTCTAGTTTAAAATTGTTATTTAATGTTGGATTTTGAGTTGTAAGTCAGAAATTTGGAGGAGCGGATTTTGAAGTAAAAGAAGCATTAGTTGAGTTATATTTAGCAAAATAAATCAATTAAATAAAAGTACTTGATCGTAATCTCTGACCTTTAACGACCTTTTAGTTTGTTTTCTTTAAAGATATACAAATCTTTCTTGGCCATCTGTTTATGCTGCCATTGTTGTGTCTTACCTGTCAAATATAACGCCAGGGTGTCCGCGGAGTCTTAAAAAGTATTACAAGTTGATAAATCAATTTAGCGAAAATGAAGGCTATTACAAAGTTTTAAACGGCATTTTACAAGGTACATGTTGTAGCTTTTTTTCAATAAGTATATCAATTGTCCAAAGAGGTTGTATTCTAAAGTTTACCTAAATGTAATCATTAAGTAGTCTGTGTAGTTTATTTATGGCATCCCGTTGGATTTGACGTCATCTCTGGGGCCTCATTTATAAAGGGATATACGCTCAAAAAATGGCGTACGCCAGTTTCTACGCAATGTTTGCGATTTATAAAATACTAACTTGACGGGAAAATGTGCGGTCCTCTACGCAAACTCTAACCCATGCGTACGCACTAAGCACAAAAACGGGAGAGACGAGAAACTGCGACACCGTTGGCAGAAGGAAGAATGGAGAGAAATATGTGGAAACAATACCATAAATAAAATGTTACCTCTCATTTATCATATATGAAGAATTCATTTTCACAAATTGATTAAAGCCAAGGTCCCATGTCATGGCCATTTCCACTGATCATAATTCCATTGTTGAGGTCTACTAGAATAGATTTATATTGTGCAATTTTCCAAAATCACTATTGTAGCTAATTTCCAAAATCACTTTGGTTTCTCATACAGGATCTCTGTAAACTACGTGGCCGTTTCTCAATCGCGAGGAAACTGGCTTCCAAGCCAATATTTAAAGGATACTACGTCATCGAGTGTTCCACTGTTCCAATCTCCAGCATACTTGGAATTCCACCGAGGCCACGTCCTTGGTTTGGGGGTAATTTCGAGGCTGCACATGGGTAGACTTCGCGTCCTTCAAATCCCCACAATGCTTTGTTTACACAGACTTTTTTAGCAGTTCTGTCGTAATCTCCTGCGATCTTCTTCATAAAGTCAGTCAAAATGAATGAATGAATGGGCGTTTCTTTGACTATTTATAGGCAAATATGGGCGTTACGTGAAGCCCGCAAAAGTTGCACCGCATTTCGAGTCGATTGTGATTTATAAAGGGAAACCGGCATAGGAAGTGCCGTACGCACTTTCCTCGTCGGTTCGCAATGTTTAGTGAATCGGAAAATGTCGGAACATTTTTGTACCTATTTTTTGGATTTCTATTACGTAAGCAACCTTACGGTGGCCCTGAAGTGCAAGACACCACAGCATTTCACAAAACACCACAGCATTTCAGAAAACACAACAGCATTTCACAAAACACAACAGCATTTCAGAAAATGCCGCAGCATTTCAGGAAACACCACAGCATTTCACATTGGACGGAAAGGGTATTCCTTTAGGGAGAACACTTCTTGTTTGTGATTGGACAGAGCCAGCCAGAGAAACACTGCTGTGATTGGTTGTTTTTGCTGCCAGTCAAGAAATGACGCTTCGTGATTGGTCAACGCCCGACAGCGCAATATGTCCNAAGTTAAATGCATCAATCTGGTGCACTTTGAGAGCAAAATGAAGAGATATATGGATACCTCTCAACATCCATAATGAAACAACTGTAAACAGATTTACTTTTTCTTTATGGATATAAAAGAAAGTAAAGCTTGACTCCTACTGGCTGGTTAAATGACTCCTCGTCCCTGAGGCCACTACCAGTTTTTTGTGCCATTTTGCTGGATTTATTTGTCAATAGCGTTGCTGCACAAAGTGATAGCCCTCTAGTTTAAATCTACTACCCAAAAAGAAACATATGGAGATGGGTTACTATTTAAAAAAAATTGCAAATCTATTTGGGAACAGTGGGGCCGGGCCTCAAATCCTATAGGGGGGTCCGGGGGCATGCTCCCCCGGTAAGATTTTTTTTTAAATGTTGGACTTAAATGCATCAATCTGGTGCATTTTGAGAGGGAAATAAAGAGACTACACCCATATCAAACAAAAATGTATACATTTAAATAATCATAAAATCATAAGTACATGGCCATAACCAATAACATACAATATCCAATATGAAAAAACATTGAAACTTGTTTATTTATTTGTTTTTGGTTCATTTATAGTTGTGAGTGTGTCTGGGCTCCTGAATCGGCCTCTCCTGTCTCCCTCCTCTCCCCCCTGCTCCTCTTTGAGGCAACAGCAAAGACTAGTTTTAGCTCTCAACAAGTTTATCTTACCTTTTTTCACCTAGTTAACATTTTGTTTGTATTATTCATGCATATTTTACTAATCACTACCCCCTCAAATGGAAATATGTGTTTACATAAATGGTGACCGAACCGTTTGAGACCCACTGAGATAACTTAAACTAAGTTAACTATCTAAAGACTCAGAGAGTAATTTACCTCACCAGAGCTGTAGTTATCAGCCTCTCAGTCTGACAGCAAAGGACTATCCCTCCACCTTGTTGTTGAAACAGCTCCTTATATCCGTTAGCGCAGCTAGCTAGCACCAGATGCTAACAACAATACACGTAACCGGTGCGCGCGCTTTCTCGCTCGCTCGCGCCACACATACACCAACACACACCCTCCCGAGCTTGAATGACACAGAGACCAATGGAGGGCATTAGTATGATCTGTATGAAAGTGGCAATGTTGGCAGGCCACGTCATGTAGACAGCCAGTCACCCTCTGTGAGGCAGAGTCAGACCCACATTTGCGCTGCGTTGCGTTTACAATATACGTATATTGCCGGCGGCTGAGTACCGGCATTTTACTGAGTACCGGCACCTTGCCGATACTCAGTAAGAAGTGCCGGTACCACATGGGTAAAAATCAGAAGTGCCGGTACTGCGTACCGGTGAGTACCGCCCCAATTCAAGCACTGCCTGCCATAACTCCAAAACCCTACACTCCTTGGACATTATTTTATGCTTGAATTGTAGGAAAACCTCTCCTACGTTGAAAAATTAAAAAAATGTAAGCAAACAAATTAAAGAAAATGCCTCTTGAGGGCATGAAGTGACACAAACTTTCAACATGTCTCCATTAAGGCCCATTGTAAATTCAGCCTGATCTTTCCTCAGAGCAGCAGCTGCACACCTTTAGTAAATCTGCCAAAAAGGCCACATTATTGACCCGAAAATGCACAAAAAGCAGACTCCGACGCTCCTCAGGGTCCTTTGATCTCAAAACAGAGTGGAGGAGAGCTTGAAAGTTGCCCAAAAAAGAGAGGATGATGTCCTCTCTTAAACCTTTGATAATAGGGACTGTGGAGGGCTCAGACTCTGATTATTTTCTGTTTCTAAATTGTATTTTCTCCTATAAATTATCCTATGTGTACATTTAAATCAAATTCAATTTTGCATTTAGTAAAAAATAATAATTTTTATGCCATCTGTTAAAATTATTTGTCAGATTTAGATACTAAGCCCTTTATTCATCAGTTTATTCAAGGCAAAAATATTGAAGCAATCAGGATTTTCTTCTCTGGTCTAAAACATGTGGCTCACTATTGGACAGATACAATGTTGTAGAAAATCTGAATAATGAGGGCAAAGAGGACGAAGAAAATCTGACATGATCATCACATGTCTTCCTGACTTCATGTGGTGAAGTGTCATTATGTTCAGTAAGGAACCGTGGGTGAACCCTCCTGTACACTGAGCCCTCCAAACTGTCAGACTGTAGACCTTGGGTGGGCAAACTTTTTGGCTCGGGGGCCACTATGAGTTGTAAATTTGACAGACGGGCCGGGCCAGTAGCAGAACGGTAAAAAAATATTTAGCTGTCCACTCCTCATTATACACTCGGGACTCAATGTTGACTTTTCTTTTCTTTGGTCCACTCATTGTTACAGATGCAGGTTCAAAGGTGAATTAGGTTCAAAGGTGAATTATTGCGTCATCGTTTGCGTCATGACGTAACCGTTTACGTGCCTTCTTATGACCCACACGGCGTTTTACGGATTTTCTCCGCAACACCGCTCACAACAACATCAATATAGGACTGCGTCGGGTAGTTTTTAATTATACGAAGCCAGATTAAATTAAAGAACTGCTTCTCCAGCCTTGTACCTTTATCCAGAGTGCCGTGGTGCATTTTTTTAAATTAATGTGGTTCAGCTGCATTACTGCCTGCTGCAGTGCTGCTCGTGCACCGGAGTTTATTCTCCCGTTAACTCGCGGCAGCGGCCGCTGTAAAGTTTTCATTGTCTGACTGTCACACACAAGCAGCTGATAAATATCCCCCATCCCCATCAGTGAATGTGTTTTAGTCTGAAAGCTGTTTGGCATCACAACGCTGTTATGAATGTGGGAATTATACAGGTGATGTTAGCATAGCAAGCTCATCAAACTATCTTGACTATTTGTTGCTATCATATTGTGGAATAAGCCGTTTTCACACATATTTTACCGGCGTAGTTTTCGTTATGATTTTACTTGTGATGGCCACATGTAGCCCATGGCCCTTTCTCATTTCTCTAACTCCCCTCCTCGACTCCTATCCTCGAGACTTAGTCCCGCCCACAGGAGATGCGAGCGGAGGAGCCGAGGAGGGGAACCGAGTAGAGAAGAGGGGAAGCAGCAGGCGGTTAGAGAAATGAGAACTCCTCTCCT